TTATATTTCGTGTAAATAAGTGTTTGTTTATATTTAAAAAATATATAATTTCATCATAAACTACAAAATCAATTCACATATATATTATTAAGTATTGGAACATAATGAAAACATGGGGAACAAGCATATAATGTGTGTTCATTTAAGTATTCAACAAGTTTCTTACAATTTATTGAAAAAAAATAGGGTTAATCTCTGTTTACTACCTTGAAGTTTCGTGGTTTTCAACATTTGGTACATGAAGTTTTTTTCATCCCAGAGTCATACCTCAAGTCTTAATTTTGGGACAGTTTCATACATCCGTTAAGTTTTCCGTTAGAAATTCTGTTAATTGATGACTTGGTGCCCACGTGGACAATAATTGAGCGCCAGGTGTCAATATGAGTCCACTTCAATATTAAAAAAAAATAAAAAATTTCCCACTTGTCCCTCACCCCCGCACCCTCTCCCTCATTTCTTTCTTTTGCAACCCTCACCCTTCCCTCCCTTCTCCGTTCTCTCTTCTCCAATTCCATGCCTCTGTTCTCCTCGCCCACAGCACCCCCGCCGTCGTCCTCATCACTTTCTTCATCTTCCTCACATGCCGATGCGTCGCCTCGCATAGCGCAACTGCCATTCTCTCCCTTCTGATCCTAGCCGAGGTCACTAGCTTCTGCCAGAATGTGTGGACGTTGGCCAACGTTGTCGCCTGCAAGTCCAAACCTCAAGCCTTCTTCTGCAATAGCTTGATTGTGAACGAATCTGAGCTCTACACTGTGCAAATACCCATATCCGGTTCTATCTCCAATGGTGAATCAGATTGCCATCTGGGTCTTTCCCATTTCCCCTGAAACCTCTAATTCCAACTCCTAGTCCAATTTGGCTCCCAGTCCCAAATGGGTCAAATTGATGGAAAATTGAGAGGTGCTGGGATTTGGGTGGGGTGGGATTTGGGTGAGGTGCTGGGATTTAGGTTAGACTTCTATGAGGATTTCTTCCCTCACACTTAAAAAGGAGCTGATCTTCTTTGGAGTGACCACGTGCAGGCATCCCAAGTTGTTTTGCTTTTCATCACGCCACCATCAATTTTGCCTTTTGATTTTCCTTTATGATTTCCTTCAATTTTGCTTTCTTTCCCTTCTGAATTCCTCGATTCCCTTTGACATACTTCCTTCAATTTGATTCTCTTAGGTCTATAAATTGCACAGACCCTAATTGCACAGCCATCTCTCATATCTTGCCATGGAACGCCGCTGCACAGATTTTCCTAAGCCCTACTCCTGCACAAATTTTTGTCGTGCTTTGCCGCTGTGCTTCTGCCTACTGCTGCACTGCATCTTGCTGTCTGTCCTCGTGCTGTTGTGCTTTCTTGATATGCACCAAATCTCAGATCTCCAACTCAACCTGCAAGCAGCACAATAATGGTGAAGGCTAGGGAAAAAAGATAAAGAGGGAAAGGGTGCGGGGGGTGAGGGAAGGTTAGGTTTTTTTTGTATTTTTTTTAATTTTTTAATATTGAAGTAGGCCCATATTGACATGTGGCGCTCAATTATTGTCCATGTGGGTGTCACGTCATTAGTTAACAGAATTTCTAACGAAAAACTTAACGGATGTATGAAACTGTCCCAAAATTAAGACTTGAGGTATGACTCTGAGATGAAAAAAACTTCATGTACCAAATGTTGAAAATCACGAAACTTCAGAGTAGTAAACAGAGATTAACCCAAAAAAATAATATGCAAAATTGAAGTTATCTATTTTCTGTCTAAGCGAGTAGCATCCTAAGCTGGTGCCTAGGTGCATTTTTCTTAATTTCCAAACACCTAGGCATTAATCGGGGTGGTGGCCACCCGCCTAGCGCTTAGGGGGCGATAGTCGAGGATTTTTAGAACAGTGTGTGGGACAAGTCACCAAGCAATTAAATTGTGTTGTGGTAATGTTTTTGTCTTTATGTTTACTTCAGAATATCCAGACTCAGGTGATCATTGGGCGGCGTGATACTAAGAGAAGAGGGTTAGACCATGTTGATGATCTTGGACAGGGCTGTGTTCATCAAGTTCAAGGTCATGACAATGAAAAGTTGAAGACTGTCCAGTTATGGCATCATCGCTAAGTCATGCCTCATTTGGTTATTTGAAAAAATTACTTCCGTTATTATTTAGGAATATTTTTTATTCTTCGTTAAAGTGTAATGTTTGCACATTAGCTAAAAGCCATCGAGCTTTTTATTCTCTGAGTATGAATAAAAGAACGATTCCTTTTGAGTTAATTCATTCGGATGTGTGGGGGCCATCTCTGGTTACTACTTAGCATGGTGTGCATTGGTTTGTAACCTTTGTTGATGACTGCACTAGAATGACTTGGTTGCACCTCATGAAAAATAAAAGCGATGCGGGTGAAATCTTCAAAAGTTTTATCACATGGTCAATACTCAATTCACTCCCTATTAAAGTGCTTCGGTCAAACAATGGTGGTGAGTATATGAATCAGGATTTTTCTCAGTTTTTTCACAGAAACGGGTATTCTCCATGAAACTACATGCCCTCAGACTCCACAGCAAAATGGCTTTGCTGAACGAAAAAATTGGCACATCCTTGAGATTACATGTGCCCTTCTTATTGGTGGTTATGCACCCAAGACATATTGGGCAGATGCAGTAACCTATGCTATTTATCTCATGAACCGGATGCTATTGCGTGTACTCTCTTTTAGAACACCTTTGGCCATGCTTGCCGATCATGATTCGCTCTCGTCCACCCTTCACCTAGAACCACGAGTTTTTGGTTGTGTGGCATACATTCACCTTCACAAAAATCAACAAAGCAAACTTGATCGATGTGCGGTGCGGTGCATGTTCCTTGGATTTAGTCCTCAACAAAAGGGCTATTGCTGTTATCATCCATCCACTTGACATACGTATATGACCATGGATGTTACCTTTTCTGAAGACGAGTTATTTTTTCCTCCCAACCATACTCCTCAGGGGGAGCAAACCTTAATCGATGATCGGTATAATGAAGAATTAAGCGTAGAAGATAGTGTACATTCCCTAAATGGGTTGCTTGACCGTGACAGTCATAGTCCAAATGGCACCACCACTAGTGGGCGACGTAAATGCCTAGAATTTGCCAGCCCAAAAGGGCAAAAAAATATGATATTGCTAAGAGCCCAAGTGGGCCCAATGAAGTGAATAATGATTCAAGCCTCAGGCAAAATCTGGTGGACATTAATGATGACCCAAGTAGGCCGAATGCAGAAAATCATCTACTCCGTTGCCAATTATGTCACTCATCGACTTTCACCGCAATACTGTGCATTTGTTCAACAGATGGAAATCTTCAAAATACCCATCAGAGTGGAAGGAGCCTTGAAAGATCCAAAATGGACAGAAGCAATGCAAGTTGAAAGCCTGAACCCGCTTGTCGTGCAATAGACATGTACAAGGCGTAAGTTAATGGCAAAAGGGTTTACCTGGACAAGGCAAGGTAGTTAGAGGCTAAAAGCCTGAACTCGCTTATCGTGCAATATAACATGTGTATGTGCACATCCATTCGACTAAGACGCAGCAATGCAGGGTCAAGTCGATCCTTCTTGTTGGTGGTGAATACAAGAATTCTCTCGTCGCCAAAGCTCGATAACAAACCATCTATAAAGTTCAATAAGCCCGAGAGTGACACCAACTGCGATCATTATAACACCACGTGATATGTCAATGCTCGTTAAAAGAAAAAAAATAACTAAGAATATCATTTGTAACAAAAAACAGAAGGAATTGAAGCAAAACCTTGGTGTTAGATGTTTGATTTTGTTTCTCTGATTGCCGATTTTGTATATCAACACTGCAGCAATCGATATCCTCAATCACCAAAATCGAACGATTTATAGTACACAACAACACCCTCTTCAATTTATAGTCAGTGGAAAGATTAATAAGCCCCAAATCATACACATCAAACTTAAGATAATTAGCCATGGATGTGATCAAACTCAATTTCCAGTGCCAGGAGGACCATACAACAAGTAGCCTTTTTCCAAGCCTTCCCCACCTTCTTGTAAAACTCCCTGCTCCTCACAAACCTGTCCAAATCCTCTGCAATCATTTTCTTGAGCTTATGGTCCATCGCCATCGTCTCAAAAGTAGAAGGGTGCTCTAGGTATATCAATCCCCAAGTACTATTGTTGCCATCATCATACGAACATAAATGACGAGAATAAAGCTTCACAACCTTCTCCTCTTCTTTAATGGCATTTGCCCGAGCAAGCATGTAAGGCAAGAAGGTGTCCATCACTATGTCTTTGTGTTTTTGGTGAAATGTCAGCTCAAAAAACTGGTTCTTTGAACTTTCCCTGGAGTACTCCTACCTTCCCTTCTTGGTTTCCATGACATTAAAGCGCCACCTGAGCTTAACATTATTGAAAGTGTTGTGAGTTCTTCGTCTTTGTTGATGGAAAATCAGATGGTTTATTGGCGATGTGTTTTTCCGACTCGGAGGCGTTGAGTGCCGGGACTGGTGCCAATGGTTTAGAGGTAGACCTCAGCGACATCATAGACCTGGTTGCATGCCTCTCCGTAGAGCTCGTCAATGATGAAAGTGAGGTTAGAGGAGAGTGAAGTGAAAAGGGATTTGAGTTTTGAGTAGCTGTATGAGCGGACGGCGGGGATGAGCTTTTTAGCCATGGGACGGACCAACACCATGGATCCTGCAACGAAGGTATAGGCTAAGAACAAGGAGGATGCTACCGTGAGTAGAATTTTTGGATCAAAGGAAAACATTTTGGTAATTTCAGATTGGTTTGTTGAGAGATGGATGAAGACACCAATGTAAAAGTATCTCTCATCAACCAACAAATTAGACTTTATACAAGATGCTTAATTTTATTTGATCCCCTTGTCACCACAAACGAACCCAACAAATTATACATATACTAAAACTCAACACACAAGTTACTGTTCATTAACAGTGTGCTCCCAGTTTTGCCCTGCTTTTTTTGTTATTATTTCAACTTTGCCACTTTTGTTTTGCTGTCAAACGGGAAGCATAATCGTTCTGCGCATTTCTTTGGCTTTCCTCTTTCCTCTCTCGCATACCTCGGGTTCCATCGTCTGCCGTTCTGTTTTCTGTCTTCATCTTTCTTCGTTGGTACTGGATAATGGCTACTTCATTCGTACAACTCAGGAGAACTTACCTCCTCTCTTCACTTTGTAATTCAATCGTTAGTTTTAATACTAATTTCCTGCCTTAGTCTGAGAGTTGTATGAGTTATCAGCTCTTTGCAATAAAGGAATTGTTATATTTGGGTGCTCTTTCGTTTTTGGTTCAATTTTTTGTGTGAAAATTAAAAAAAGGAGAAATGATGATGGTTAATTTTTCTCCCATACTTGATTTTCTTGGTTTGTTTCTACTAATCTTTTGTTTCTTGGGCTGATTGCACTTCTTTTTCGTTATTTTTGGTGCAGATATGAAGAGGATTTGTGAAGTTGCTGTGATTTCATGGTAAGTTTCTTTGAACGGATCTGAGAATTTGGGATCGTTTGGGGTGTTTTGAAGGTTTTTTTTTTACTTTTTTTTTATTGGGGAAAAAAATGGTTAACAGTTAATTGATTGTATTTTAATTTTTATTCAATTCAGGTACTCATGATCAGTTTTTGGATTTGATTTGAAGGAATTTCTAGGGTTCATTGGTGAGTTCTTCGAGATGTGAAATGGGTGGTTTCTTTTGTTTAAATCTGGGGCTTTTGTAGTTTGGGATTTGTAAATGAATTAAAATTTATTGTTTTATGATTTGGTTCCCTTTTTATTTTCAAGAAACGGTGGTCTTCATTTTTTGGGGCTATTGTGTGTAGGCTTCCAAGCTGTTTGTGCTTGAGGTATATAATTTCAGCTTTTCTCTTTGGGTTTTTTATTAAAGAATTTAAATTTTTATGTGCTCTGAATTGACTTACAGAGCTCTTACCTTAGTTTTTCCTTGCTCCTTTTTAACTCTTGACATGATTTCAGGATGTTGGAAGAGTCCTCTTCCGAGCACATGTCGAGAGTCAACTCAAGGTTAACAGATTTGTATATTTATTATTTGTGTATTGAATAAGAATTAGATAATGGTTCATGAACACAAAATGATTTTGGCATATATACAGAATGAGATAATGTTTAAGCCTGACCTGTTTGTGGCGCCTCATCCAGAATTGCCACTTTTGCTTTTGGATCAAATGACGTATGTTGTATAGCATCTTGGTATTTACATAAATATCATTTGTAACAAAAAACAGAATGAATTGAAGCAAAACCTTGGTGTTAGAAGTTTGATTTTATTTCTCTGGTTGCCGATTTTGTATATCAACACTGCAACAATCGATATCCTCAATCACCAAAATCGAACGATTTGTAGTAGACAACAACACCCTCTTCAATTTATAGTCACTGGAAAGATTAGTAAGCCTTAAATCATACACATCAAACTTAAGATAATTAGCCATGGCTACGATCAAGCTTGATTTCTAGTGTCGAGAGGACCATACAACAAGTAGCCTTTTTCCAAGCCTTCCCCACCTTCTTATAAAACTCCCTGCTCCTCACAAACCTGTCCAAATCCTCTGCAATCATTTTCTTGAGCTCAGGGTCCATCGCCATCGTCTCAAAAGTAGCAGGATGCTCTAGGTTTATCAATCCCCAAGTACTGTTGTTGCCGTCATCATACGAACATAAATGACGAGAATAAAGCTTCACAACCTTCTCTTCTTCTTTAATGGCATTTGCCCGAGCAAGCATGTAAGGCAAGAAAGCGTTCATAACTATGTCTTTGTGTTTTTGGTGAAATGTCAGCTCAAAGAATTGGTGCTTCGAACTTTCCCTGGAGTACTCATTCCTTCCCTTCTTGGTTTCCATGGCATTAAAGCGCCACCTGAGCTTAACATTATCGAAAGTGTTGGTGAGTTCTTCGTCTTTGTCGATGGAAAATCAGATGGTCTATTGGCGATGCGTTTTTTCGACTCGTAGGCGTTGAATGCTAAGACTGGTGCCAATGGTTTGGAGGTAGACCTTAGCGGTATCATAGACCTGGTTGCGTGCCACTCCGTAGAGCTCGTCAATGATGAAAGTGAGGTTAAAGGAGAGTGGAGTGAAAAGGGATTTGAGTTTTGAGTAGACGTATGAGCGGACGACGGGGATGAGCTTTTTGGCCATGGGACGGACCAACACCATGGATCCTTCAACGGAGGTATAGGCTGAGAACAAGGAGGATGCTACCGTGAGTAGAATTTTTAGATCAAAGGAAAACATTTTGGTAATTTCAGATTGGTTTGTTGAGAGATGGATGAAGACACCAATGTAAAAGTATCTACTCATCAACCAACAAATTAGACTTTATACAAGATGCTTAATTTTATTTGATCCCCTCGTCACCACAAACGAACCCAACAAATTATGTATACTAAAACTCAGTTGAGTTTTAGCACTGTTCAGCAATAGTAAAAGGGCGAAAATGCCCTTGATTTGTTTGGGGTTTAGGTGCTGCTGAATTGCTTTGTACAGTTAAATGTCATTTTTGCCCCCATTAGGTGGGCTGTCTTCAGCTGCTCGGAAAGTCCTTTTTTCGGGTACGTTTTCTGTCCTGGTTTTTTCCAATTTGGAGATGCACTGATAATTGTTGGATTAAAATGGATTTGTATTTTTTGGGAAGAACTGAGAGGAGTAGTTGGAATTTTAGAAAGCTTTGTGTTTCTACCTTTTATGTGATAGAGGGAATACAGACAGGGAGAGGAAGAGAGAAAAGATTAGTTTAGATTGCAATTTTAAAAGTTTTTATGTTGTTAGTGTTGGAACCAATGTATTTTGTTGAGAAATTGATAATATGTAAAGTTATTAGGATTTTGGAAAGATTTGTCTTTCTCAGTTTTATCTGCCAGAGGGAACACAACTCTTACATATATGATTTCAAGTTGTCCCTTTAGAAATTCAAGCTCTATTGAATACATGAGGTGTAAGAAACTGTTTGGGATATTTTCAAGTTTTTTTTATTCAAAAAAAAAAAAGCATGCTTAAGAGTAATTATATTTTAATTTTTATTGAATTCAGGTAACCATCTTTAGGTTTTTTGCTTTGATTTGAAGAATTTCTTACCCAGGAAAGCCAGGGCTTCCTGATGAGTTCTTTGGGTTCCATATCTGGCATCTTTGTTTTGTTCAAATTTGGGGCGTTTGTGATTTGGGATTTATGTACTGTCTTATCAACTCTTAATGTTGAATTAGGTAGCTATTAAAGTTGGATTAATCAAACTTGGGCATCAGTTCATATGTTTTTCAATGTTCCTATTCCGATTTAATAACGTGATTTAATAGTGTGATGCTGATTTAGGCTATAAATTCATAGGCTTTTGAATAGCCAAATTTGCAACACGGATTTCAGAGGTTGTTGTATCATTAGCTGAAATATGGTACATATAATCCTTAGACATCATTTTTCACTTTGATTAAGATGTGTACCTACCTTCTCAGTTTTTACCATTGTAGATGCGGGTGGTATAAATTTTTACTTAAAAAATTGAACTCGAAATGAAAACCCAGGTGAAAAAGCATGGAAACAACTCTTGCGTAGAAATGACTTCTGGGAATGAATTTTCTTGAGATTTAATCCCAGCTATTTGATAAGAGTCAGGTTTTACAACTTAAACCATTTCCAATAACTATTTGGTAATAGGATGAATAATTAATCGTCAAAAGTGAGTTCATACATATGAAATCCTGTTTAAGCTTACTTTTTCCCTTATGAATATTTCTTAATTTGATAGGCTGATGCTTGGGTTATTGAGAATTTTGCCTCGGTAGCAAAATATCTATCTGCCCAAATTATGGGACACGGGTGTAGTTCTTATTTTGATAATTTTTTCTTCTTTCTCTCTTTGATACTTTTCATGTGTATTCACTTGGGAAAAATACTTAAGTCTTAATGATATTAATGCTGCAGGATATAATTTCTTCTACAGCCATAAAATCTGTAAACAGATTTCCAAGTTTACAAGGAGGTTGCTGGGTTGAGTTTGGTTACATAGATAACACTGCAGTATACCATACAAAGGTTTTTTTTCTTTCCCTTTGCCCCATTTTTGGGATATTGGTTACAAAATCCGTTTTAGCATAGGTGTGAAATTTACAGTAGGGGTTAGTAAGTTAATTAGTTAATTTCATTCTCAATGTGCATAAATGTTGTTCTTGCATTAATTCATTTTCTTTGTATCGAAATTGAATAAATCTAATTCTCCTTGATATCCACTCATTCTGCTAAGATATTTATGTTGTTTCTCTCATGCTCTATCACAATATATCAGTTACTTTAATAAATTTAGTTCTAAACGTTTTCTCAACATAGATGATCTTACAAAACTCAGTGATGTACTCATCTAATTTTTAAGTTTTAAGTCTTTTTAATGAATAGTTTGGTATTTAGGCAGCTTTGATCTTTGATTTTAAATATGAGATTTTGTCTGATCTTTCTGATCCTCAGTTTCTATTGTCATTTACGGTTTAATGGACATTCTTGAATCACATTGGTTAACACCAAACAAATGGTATGTGTCATATTTCTCTTTTTCTATTCCTTTACTTTCATACAGAGTTTTGTTTGAATGCCATCATTTTCACAGCCCCTTATACACCTTTGATTCAAACTTCATCGTTCTTTAAATATCTGTATATATTATGCTCATTAGGGGTGGGCACTTGGAACCGAAAACCGAAACCGAAACACAAATCGAATCAAACCGCACCAAACGGTTTGGTTTTACGGTTTTGAAACAGTTTCGATTTCAAAACCAAACCACGGCACACAAAACGGTTTGGTTTCGGTTTTGGGTTTTCAAAACCGCACCATATAATAAATAAATGTTATATAACTTATATTTTAAACTTTTCAACTAGGTTATAACTTATAGGTTTGTATTATGGCAAACTTAACCTTTCAATTGGGTTGTAAAGTATTGTGATTGGTGATCAAGTTCAATTTTAGTAGATGTGATGCATAAGGATTTAAAGTTTAAACCCTTTGATGCATTGGATGTTGTCTCAATTTTAGTAGTTGTCATTTGTTGCAGTTTTGGTACAAGTTTGGTACAAGTTAGCTGCACTTTTGGTGTAGATTTTTGGTTCTGTTTTCTGCAGTTTTTTGGTTCTGTTTTGGTGTAGTTTTTTGTGCTATTTTTTTATGCAGTTTTGTTGCATTATTTTTTGGTGCAATTTTGTGCAGTTTTGGTGCAGTTTTGTGCAGTTTTTGGTGCAGTTTTGCTGCATTTTTTTGGTGCAGTTTTATGAAGTTTTGGTGCAGTTTTGGTGCAGTTTTTTTGTACTATTTTGGTGCTGTTTTTTATGCAGTTTTGGTGCATTTTTGTAGTTGTCTTCCATTGATGAAGCTTTTGTTGGTGAAGGTTTTGTGTTGAAGCTTTGTAGGTGAAGCTTTGGAGTTGAAGCTTTTTTTTGGGTACCATGAATTGATTTTGCTTCACACTATCTTGATCAAGATAGTGTGAAGCTTTTGAGAATTTGTAGTTGTCCTCCATTGATGAAGCTTTGTTGAATTTGAAAATGTGGGAGAGACAACATATGCAAATTTTTCCTCCACACTGTTGAGCAAGAGATTGTGATGCAAGCCACACCTTGTAGTAGTCGAAGGTTTAAATGAACCATATAAATTGAATTTGCTTCGAACAGTCTTGAATTTGCTTCGAAGGTTTGAGAATTGTAGTTGCCTTCCATTGATGAAGCTTTTGTTGACACCATAAATTGGTTTTGCTTCACACTGTCTTGATCAAGAATGTGTAAAGCTTTTGAGAATTGTGGTTGAACTCATTTGATGAAGCTTTTGTTGGCACCATAAATTGGTTTTGCTTCACGCTGTCTTGATCAAGAGTATGTGAAGCTTTTGAGAATTGTGGTTGCCCTCCATTGATGAAGCTCTTGTTGGCACCATAAATTGGTTTTGCTTCACACTGTCTTGATCAAGAGTGTGTGAAGCTTTTGAGAATTATGGTTGAACTCCTTTGATGAAACTCTTGTTGGAACCATAAATTGGTTTTGCTTCACACTGTCTTGATCAAGAGTGTGTGAAGCTTTTGAAAATTGTGGTTGCCCTTCATTGATGAAGCTCTTGTTGTTGGCACAAATTGGTTTTGCTTCACACTGTCTTGATCAAGAGTGTGAAGCTTTTGAGAATTGTGGTTGCCCTCTATTGATGAAGCTCTTGTTGGCTTCATAAATTGGTTTTGCTTCACACTGTCTTGATCAAGAGTGTGTGAAGCTTTTGAGAATTGTGGTTGAACTCCTTT